AAGAAATGCTACAATTATATGGATAATTCACTTATATTAATACCTCAGTCCTTAATGCAAGTGAAACAAAATGTTTACTTTCTTTGCAAATAATGTTATAATTAACTGAGTTTAGAAAGTAACAGGTTTAAGAGACATTCAGCGAAATTTCCAGTTAACTTTTCTATAGTGGTTACATTTTACGTAATACTGAACAGGTCTTATTCTTTTAGGTAGCCTTGAATGTCAGCTGGGAATAGCTTTCTTAAGGTGCTACTGTTTTATCTATAACTCTCTTCAAAGACTTCTTTACAGTTTCAGCACAAGGAAATATATAATTAAGTATAACTCCTTCACTTTCCCATTCTCAGTTTTTCAGTTTAGCCTTGAGCAAACGTTTTACACTGTATAACATGAGTAAAAGACAAAGTTAGAAATGGTGATCAGCCAAGTAAACCTGTCTTCTAAAGAGCCTGACAACATAATCCAATAGAATGCCTACTACTAATATCCATAAAAATGAGAAGGAAGAAAGAAAAAGCCCATAGCTCAAAAAAGGGGGCAAGTAACTTTGTGTTCTTATATCAGTTTATACAAAAACTCAAGATTTTATCAGCTCCAAGATAATGATAAGTTAGAATGAAAGGATAAATATATAAAATTTAACATATAGTTAATTTACTTATTTATAAAGTATAAGATTCTTATCCCATTTTAAAATTAAATTTCATTTATAAACTCTGTAAGACATTTGTTTAGATACCACTTACCCTGTAATAAAACCGGGGAATGGTCTTATAGAATTCATTTGTGTTTTTTCTACCTCCTTTCCATTCTGAGTAGTATTTGGTAAATAAATCCATTTCTTCCTCTTTTAATTCTTGTTCATTTTTTTTTTCTGTTAACAAAATAGATTAGGGGGGAAAGGCACTTTTAAAGTCAAACAACACTTTTCCTCAGGTCATCTATCTACTATAGTCTAATTACAGTGCAAAAAAGGCCTTCACAATCGGGCTGAGACACTGAACATCTACTATATCAACTTTCTTAAAATACCCAGAATCTTTCCTTCTTCCCCCCTCTCTCTTCAGTACCTTCAATTTCTTCATCTTTACTGGCTGTTCTTTAACTTACAAATACACTGAGGTCTTTCCCATCCCTCCAAAAAACCCCTTCCTTTCTACGTGCTGCTACACGACTCCTTCCTTCCTCATCCACTTTTTCAAATGAAAAGCCTACGTTGGCTATCTCTACTTTCTTACCTCTCATTCCCTCTTTATGCAATCCTGTTTCTGCTCTTACCGCTCTACAGACACTGTTCTTGCCAGGGCAACCAATGACCTAATTGCTTAGTTTAACAGACCTGTCCTTGATTTCCCTGTTAAATTTGATACTGTTGATCATTCTAACCTTTTCTTAGCTTTTATGAAACCGCACTCTGTTGATTCTCCTATTTTCTGGCCATTTCTTCTTTTTCATTAATCCTTTTTCCTCTATCATTTCAACTTTTGTAGTTTAAATTCTAAGTCCCAAACCTGTATCACCAACCCAGACATTGTTCTTGAACTCTAAACTCATAGATTCAAACAAAATATTTTCATCCTCATGTTCTAACAGTGCTAAAATAATTTTCCCCACCCCTCACCTTACTACTCTTCTCTAATCCATATTCCCATCTCAGTTAGTGGTACCACGATCCATCCAGTCACCCAAGCCCAAATCCCAAGAGTCATTTTCATTATTTCATTCATTCTTTTTCATTCAACTATTCTAGGGACACACAAGTATATACGTGAGTGGATGTGTGCATATGTGCCCGTATATACATGCAGCTTTCAACAGTGTCAGAGAAAGCCTCACTGAGATGAAATTGAGCAAAAACAACCTGAAGAAGGTGAGGAAGCAGGCTATCCAGATATTCAGGGGGAAGTGCATTCCAGGCAGAGGAAGCAGCCTAGAGGGTTAGTAGGAGACGAGGGAAGGCAGATAGCAGGGAGCCAGGCCACTAGGTCACGTGAAAGACCTCGGCTTGTATTCTGGTGAGGGAGAGAGCCACCCTAAGCAACGGGACGGCTAATGCAGTAATCTAAGTGACAGATGGTGGTGGCTTGGAGCAGGGTGGCTGCAATGGAAGTGGTCATGAGTAACTATATTCTATATTTTCTTCTAAGTCCCAGGATGTGCTGATACACTGGGTGTGGGTATCAGAGAAAGAGAGCAGTCAAAGACATCTCCAAAGGTTTTGTGAGCACATGGGGTTGCCAGTAACTATGCTGGGGAAAACTATGAGACAGCAACTGAGGAAGGAGAGCAGGAGGTCAGTTTTGGATAAGTTAAGATTAAGGTATCGATTAGATGCAAGTGGCCGTGTCAAGTAGGCAATTAAATATAAGAATCTGGCATTTGGAAGGAGGTCCAGGCTACAGATAAAAATTTAGGAGACAATACAAATATACAGTATTTAAAGCCATAACACTGGATAACTTCACCATGAAGGTGAGTGTACACAGAGGATAGAAGCTGACCGAGGACTCCGCCTTGGGCGTTCCAATGTTAAGTTGTTGGGGAGAAGAGGAAGAGAAAGCAGAGACTGAGAAAGGTGACTGGTGAGGCAGGAGGAAAACTAAGAGTGTGTGTCTCCCAGAAACCAAGAGAAGAAACTGTGTGCAGGAGGAGAGAGAACTACCATGTCCTGGCAGGGACTGCCGGCGGGTCGAGTAAAGTGAGGACTGAAAACGGACCACGGGAACAACATGCAGACCAGGGATGACCTTGACAAGCACAGGTTTAACCCACAATTCTTTTCACAAGTGTTGCTATAACGGAAGCAGACAAATGAGGCATTGCTAGAGGCGGAAGTTAAGACAAGAAAGTTTCTTTCAGATGGGAAAATACCACTATGTTCACATACTGATGGGAATGACCAAGAAAGAAAACCTGATGCAGGAGAGGGGGGCAACTGCAGGAGTACATCCTTGAGTAGGCAAAAATGGCATGGGATCTGGCACACCAACGAAGGAAATAGCCTTAAACAGCAGTTCTACAACCAAATGCCTTAATTAATTTATCACCTCCTTCAACACTGAAGTGTAAGTTCTATGCTTTAGATGAGGAGTTTTTTTTTTTTTTGAGGAAGATTAGCCCTGAGCTAACATCTGCTGCCAATCCTCCTCTTTTTGCTGAGGAAGACTGGCCCTGAGCCAACATCCATATCCATCTTTCTCTACTTTATATGTGGGACGCCTACCACAGCATGGCTTGACACGCAGTGCCATGTCCGAACCCAGGATCCAAACCTGTGAACCCTGGGCCGCCGAGAAGTGGAACGTGCGAACTTAACCACTGCGCCACTGGGCCAGCCCCTAGATGAGGATTTTTGTCTGTTTTGTTTACTGTTATAACCTAGACCCGTACTTGGTGCATAATAGACAAGCAACGGAGTGGGTTTAAGAGTGAAGTGTAGGAGAAAGCACAAATAAAGGTAACTTTTTCAAGACCGTTTTCCTATAAGGAGTGCAGAGAAAGGTAACAAAAGCTGGAGAGGGATGTGAGATCAAATTTGGGGGGGGGGGGTAGGTGAGGAATATTGCCCCTGAGCCAACATCTGTTGCCAATCTTCCACTTTTTGCTTGAGGAAGACTGTCCCTGAACTAATACCTGTGCCAATCTTCCTCTATTTTATATGTGGGACATGGCCACAGCATGGCTTGAAGAACAATGTGTACATCCATGCCTGGGATCTGAACACGTGAATCCCAGGCCGCCAAAGCATGAACTCAACCACTACGCCACCGGCTGGTCCCAAGTTATTTTTTTTAAGATAGGGGATATTACAGCATGTTTGTCAGAGCTGATGAAAATAATCCAGTAGAGAAGGAATATTTTATGAGGCATGAGAGAGAGAGTAAGGCCAGAGTGAAGGCAGTGAATAAAAGAAAGGGAACACGATCTAGTGTTGGAGGGGAGGAGCTTGGACGGTTGTCATCTTAACAGGAAGGGAGAGTGTATGGGCACCCATGGCGGGGGAAGGGGCTGACAGAATGGTAACGGGAACAGGTGAGGTTCTTCTTCGATTGCTTCCACTTTCTCAAATAAATATACACACAGGAGTCCATCAGCTGAAGGTAAGGAGTAGGCAGGACATATTGGGGGATTGGAGATCTGGTATGAGAAGTGCCTTACAATGTGGGACACTGACTGTCTAAGGAAACACGGAAGGAGACTAAATGAATGACTGAAACACCGACTTTAGGTGAGTGGACTTGAATTAAAAGAGACACTTCAGCTTGGTTCCGTTTTCCTCCAGCCACTGTGAGCGCCCTGGGTGCAGGTGTGGAAGAGGAAAGACAGCTGTAACCAGCTAGCTTAACAAGCAAGTGTGAAGGACGGGGAAATGGACAAGGAAAAAAGGATTATGAAATCTAATATGGATAAGGAGGGAAGTGAAAAGTGTGATAGTAAAAAGGCAGTAGGATCAATGGGTGATAGGTTCTGGTAGGACCCAAGAGTTGTTGGAGCCGGGGTTCTCAATTATTCCTCACAAGCCTCTGTCAAGACCACGCAAGTGAGCGGATAAGGCAGCTTTCCATTCCCGCAAATCCTTTCCCAGGGAAGGGTGGGTCTCACCTCCCTGGATCCCTCAACCTCAGTGTCCTCCGCCCCCTTTGTCAGGAGAGCTTTCAGAGGAGCGGAAGGCGCGGCTCCCGTCGCCGCCCCTCCCCGTTCTCCCCCCGCCTCTAGGAGTTCGGCTGGGCTGGCTCTGCGGGCGGCCCCTCCCAAACTCACTCTGTGGACCGGTGTCCGGCGCCGCTAACCGCCGGCGGAGAACTTCTTTCCAGTCCATGGCTGACTCCCGCGCAGCGCTTCCCGCATTTGCTGTTTACCAGCCGCTCCACCCCCTCCCAGCTCCGACGTCAAACGCCGTCCAGCCGCGCAAAGGTTAGGAGGGCCGCTCAGCCGCCATCTTGGACACGGGCGGAAGTGGGCGGAAAGAGGTCAGAACAATCCCTGTAGCCACTTCGGAGAATAACGCGATCACGCTGACAGCTGGGAAGCCGACGTGAAAGGGATGGAAAATGACTGTCTTTAAGGCAGCATCGCAACTTCACCAAGCCCGATTTTAAAGGCGCAGGATAAGGACGCCAGCCTTTTATTTCTTCACCTTGGGCCTTTGGCGCGTGTGCACCACGTGACTCAAGAGTCCTTTGGCTTTTCCGGCTCGAGGGAAGCTTTCTTCCTTCACAGTTTCTTTTCATTGTTCACTGCGGATATATGGAGGCCCTGGAGGTGCCCTGAAGGTAGCAGGCGCCTTGGACCTCTGCTCGCTTCTGCCACTAAAAACTTCAAAATCGCCTTTTTCTCGCAGCCAGGCTCGGTGGGACGCCTGCGCTCTGTCTGGTCCCGCCCCTGCGGCCGGGGCCGCCGCGGTGCATTGTGGACACGGTAGTTCCCGCCGCGTTGATGGCTGCGTTTAGCGTGAGTGCTGCGCGGAGTTGTTGAGTGAAGTGGACTTGGTTTGTAATCGGTTGGTACCCGGTGGGCCGTCCCCTTCGCGGCCCTCCCTTCCTTGCCTGAGCCGTTGGCTCGGCCCTCTCCCCGCCTCCCCCACTCCATTCCCTCCGCTGACGAGGTTGGCGCCTGGGGAGAGTTGGATGCAGGACCAGGGCCCCTAGACTGGCTATCGCCGCTGTCCTTGCTGCTGTGGGTCTGGGGTCGGGGGCTCCTGGGCGCGGTTTTCCCTTGTTCAGCAAGGCTCCCATGGGATCCAGCCCCTCTTCTAGGACAGTTGTGGTCCACGTGAGTCGACTGGGCTGTCCTCCTTGTGCTTTCTTCTCAGATTCGCGGACTGGAATGTAACAGGCACCGGAGGATCCCCGCCCTGTCATCTGGTTCTGGGGCTTGCGACTGAGGTTGGATGTCCCGGATCGTTGTCTAATGGAGAGAACTCACTAGACTTCGTTGCTGTTAAATAACCCCCAAAGCAGAACCTTGATTTGTCTGTGAGAGACAGAAAATCATCTTTTAAAAAGTTGTGCTTCGATTCTCCCCTCCCCACCCCCAATCTCTTAATTATGCTGTAAACGTAGGACTTTTGGAACGTCTCTCTCACTCTCTGGTGCTGATCCCACTGCAGAATGACTTTCTGTTTCACTGGTATCCGAAGCTTTCCTAAGCTTTGGAAGAGCAACCCATACCTTGGACTAGGCCCTGCACACTCTTCTGTCTGTCTCTTTCTCAAAGACTGTTATGGCATCAGGAACCAACAGAAGTGGTTTTCTCTTAAAACAGCATCTCCACAAAATACCAAAGCAGTGAATCTGCTGATTGCCAAAGCCCAATATCCCCGGAAAGGAGATAAGGGCAATAAGAAGCAAGTTTCTTCTGATTCTCCTCATCTTTTTGCAGCTGGAGCAGCTAAGAAAAGATCACAGATGAATCCTCAGAGTAAAGATCATGTCTTGTCACCTGTGAGGGACACTATTCAACTTCCAACGAAACCTTTGAATTCAGAGGAGTGGGATAAACTTAAAGAAGATTTCAAAGGAAAAGCTAATTTTGAAAATTGGATCAGCTCACAAATGGCTCACTGCCGTAGCTCTGTGGATGTGGCCAAATCTCTGCTAGCCTGGGTAGCTGCAAAGAACAATGGTATTATAGGCTATGATCTGCTGGTCAAGTATTTGTATCTTTGTGTCTTTCATAAGCAGACTTCGGAAGTTATTGACGTCTATGAAATCATGAAAACCAGATACAAGAGTTTAGAATCCGGAGGGAATAGTCTTCTCATCCGAGGATTAATCCATTCAGACAGGTGGAGGGAGGCCTTGCTGCTGTTAGAGGACATCAAAAAAGTAATGATCCCTTCGAAAAAGAACTATCATGACTGTATCCAGGGAGCCCTCCTGCATCAAGATGTAAAGACAGCTTGGGATTTGTATCAGGAACTGTTAGGTCATGATGTTGTTCCTATGTTGGAAACTTTAAAAGCCTTCTTTGATTTTGGAAAAGATATAAAAGATGATCAGTATTCAAACAAACTACTGGACATTCTTTTATATCTAAGAAATAATCAGCTGTATCCTGGGGAGTCATTTGCACATAGTATAAAAACGTGGTTTGAGAGGTAATTTTGATTTTCCTTTTTATGTATGTTTTTATTTTAGTACCTATATCTAAAAGTAGCCTCCTCCTTTTCTTTATTAGTTGCTGAGAATTACTCTATTCAGGTTATACTTTTTTCCATCTTTTGGTAAGATTTGTTTCCCCATTAAGACAAAATTTTCTTTCTCTTTAAAAAAAGTAGCATAAGCAAGTTGTACTAGTCTCTACTTGTTACGTAAAAGGGAAATTATAGAGCACTTGTAGATTTTATGTATTTTTTCCTTTTAGAAGGATCATTTATTTTGTTTTCTGAGGTATCTGGTATTATGTGAGTAGTTACCAATAGTACTGGTGGCTGGAGTTCACAGCAAGTAAATTGGAGCTGTCTTTGGATCATTTTAGTATTTTCAGAAGTTCTGAAACCTAGTAACTGGTATCGCTTGATTATGTATGTTCTGTTTAATCCATACATTTTATCCACTTGGATGCGCAGATTGGAATGGACAGAGGATCCTGATCAAACCTGATATGTAGGGTTAAAATGGAAAATCCTCATCCTTCCCCTTCATTTCTGATCTTTCCATCGTTCGACTGCTCCCTCCAAGGCTCTCTGCTTTACTTTTATTCATGTTACTGGCTACCTGCCTATTTATTGCTTCAGTCTTTTATTCTCTTATTTCTTCACCACTAATTTGCTTCAGGCACTTTCCTAAAAATTCATTCCTTTTCTCTATTTTTCTCTAGCTTTCCTGCTGTGTTATCTCTACAGAGCTTTGAAGTAGCAATCATGCTTAATTATCTTATTTAACAAATTTGTTGAATATCAGTGGAAGAGTTAGATTGTGAAAATCTTTGAATGACAAAGATTTTGGAGCGTCTCACATATAAAGTAGAGGAAGATGGGCACGGATGTTAGCTCAGGGCCAGGCTTCCTCAGCAAAAAGAGGAGGATTGGCAGCAGATGTTAGCTCAGGGCTAATCTTCCTCAAAAAAAAAGTAAAGAGTGCTGGTCTTGGAGTGGAGTTCTAGAAAGGTAACTGCCAACAGTGAAAAAAGAAGGTTGGAGAGGAATTAAGATTGGAAACAGGGTGATCTATTGGGAGGGAATTGTAGGTTTGAATGAGAGATGATGAGATCTTGAATTAAGAACTGGGGAAAGAGAGAAGGCAGTGGAATCAATAGGGATTGATGGTAATGTAGGAAGAAAGAAGAAAGAATAAGTTGGTTGAGCAAATAAATCAATAAGTTGTTTCAAATGCCTCCAGCTAGGCTAGGCACTGAGAGTGTCATGTGTTTGATATAAGATCTATTATGACTGCATTCACAACCTAAATGGGAATACAATACTTGACCATTAAATAATAGTGGTGTACAACATGCTAGTATAAGAGGAGGAATTACTCTGGGCGGGAACAATCTCTGGCAGCTTTATGGAGAAGGTTAGAGTTGAGTTGATTTCAAGTTACAGTACTAATGTCAGCTGCTTTCTGTACAGGTCCTGTGAAGGTAGATTTAGACTCAAAGATGAGGGTCAGATGACTGGAGGAGAAGCAAAGGGAAGAAGGAGATCCAGAGTAGGGTACCATCAGCTCCTCAGCCCCATCACAGGGTGTCAAGTACTTCTGTGATTTAACCATTCTTGGGAAGTATCCTGAACTTTTCAGAGCTCTTGCCTACTGAGTTTCTAAATACAGTGACTGTCTTTCGGTTGAGTAGGCACCTGACCTTCTGATGATTTGATTTTGCAATCTTTTTTGTAGTGTTCCTGGAGAACAATGGAAGGGACAATTCACCACAATCCAGAAAAGGTAAAGGCCAATATTTTGTTTTTAACTTGTTTGATTCGGGTTTAGTAGGTTTTGTTGCTGCTGACTTAAAAGAATTTTTAGGAATGTCTTAGAGATAGGCTAACTAAGAGTTAGAGTAGCCAAGAAAAAGCAGTGTTTTGCATTTGGAGGATTTGCTATGCTCAAAATGTTTTCTCTGCAGGTGCTGTGAGCCTGGTGTGAAGCCTCAGAGATGTTTTCCCTTAGAGATTTGGGACCTAGTTGTGTTTTAGGAAGGACTTTAACTTTATCTGGACACTCAGCAGTGTATTCTTGGATCTTCTGGCACACAACTGTGTCATATTATCAGGTTTACAAAAATCAGATGCATGTGATGATCACAAGGGTTGTAATCTTCTTTTTAAATTACCCTTTCAATCCCCTCATGTCCTAGGATTATTCATGTTAGAAAAAGGTCTTTTCCAGGACACTGTTTAACACAAGCAATTGTAATTACAGTGGTCAATGTTTGGGCTGTGGAAAAACCATAGAGTCTATTCGCCTGAGTCCAGAAGAGTATGAGTTTCTCAAGGGGAAAATCTTGAGGGATGTGATAGATGGAGGTGACCAATACAAGAAGACGACTCCTCAGGTGAGTCTAAAACAGGTTTTATTGTATTCTTGGATTGCTTGTCTAGAGCAAGGGTCAGCAAATTTTTTTCTGTAAAATGCCAGATAGTAAATATTTTAGGCTTTGTGGACCATATGGTCTCTGTTCAACTTTTCCACTCTGCTGTTGTAGTGAAAACAGCCACAGACAATACATAAATGAATGAGCATGGTTGTGTTCCAGTAAAACTGTATTCATGAAAAGAAGTTGTGGCTGGATTTAGCCCACTGGCCAAAGTTGTCAACATTTAGGAGAGATGGCTTTGGAATTTCATAGAATAATTGGGTTAGATTATCATCCATCTATTCAAGTCAGTCCTATTTCATCTGGGCACAAGTGCATTTAAACCAAAAGGGTAGATGCTTATTCTTTGTCTAAATGCTTCCAGAAAACTGTGTTCAGTAAACTCCTTATGGTTTCTCACAGCTTTTCTAGTCAAGAGGGTTTCAAGTAACTTGACAAAATGATTTCCAAGTTTTCTTAGTATTGAATTTGATTCTCTAAGTCATTTTTGTTTTGTTTTGCTAACCTTCAGTACCTTGCTTTGGGAGATTAAATCTGCCCAAGGACACCTCACTAATAAAACCTAGATCTGACTGACCCCAAAATCTTTGCCGTTACACTCTGTTGCCTCTCATGGAATGGAAAGTTAGAGAGAATCCATGGTTCCGTGTATGCCTGGCAGCCAGCTGGTTGTAGCAGCTCTTAATGCCTTAGGAATTTCTGCGAGCTAAACTATGGTTTAGACAAACTTCTCTTCTCTCATCACACGTTGAACACTGTGTGTCTTTGGAAGTAGGTGTTGAGATAGATGTGAGATTGTGGGAATCATGCTGTTGCGACCAAGAACTTACCATTTCTGTTGCAGGCCCATTGAATGTTCTTCCCACCCGCCAACTTTTTATTTAATAAAATTTTCAACCAAAAGAAAAAGTGAGAAAAGTAGCACAATGAACACCTCCATACCCTTCACCTAGAGTAACCAGCTGTTGTTAGGCCACCTATATTTCCTCTCTATCTAGCTGTTTTTAGGAACCATTTAGAAGTAAGTTGTAGACGTGTTATCTTAAATATTTCAGCGTAGATCTTCTAAGAATAAGAGAATTCTGTGTAATTTAATACCATTATCACATTTAAGAATCTTAACATTATTTCAGAGTCATTTAATAAAAAGTACACAGATTTTCCCAGTTGTTCCCCCAAAATGTATTTTATAACTTTTTACCCTCTGATCCAGGATTCAATCAAGGCTCACTTATTGCTTCTGATTGCTGTCTCTCTCTAAATCCAGAACAGTTCCCCCTGCCTTTTTTTGTTTTTATGACACTGACTTTTTGAAAAGTCTGGGTGGTGTGTCTTGTATGTGGCTTCTCCAATTTTGTGCCTATGAATCACTTGAGCATCTGGTTAAAATGCAAATGTGATTCAGTTTTCTGGAGTGAGGCCTGAGAGTCTGTATTCTGAAGAAGCTCCCTGGTGATGTGATTCTGGTGTTTGGACCACATTTTGAGTAGCAAGACTGTGGACTAATTGATTGTTTTCTCTTCATTAATTCAGTATAAAAGCTTTTGGGTATACTAGATGCTGTGTGCTCCTTATTGCATCACAGCAGCCACATAATATCAGGTTGTTCTCACTAGTGCTGATGCTAAGTTTGATCAGTTGATTAAGAGGACAACTCCCAGATATTGCCATTATAAAGGTACATTTTTTGTTTTATATATATTTTGTGTGTGAGTGAGGAAGATTGGCCCTGAGCTAACATCTGTTGCCAATCTTCCTCTTTTTACTTGAGGAAAATTGTTGCTGAGGTAACATCTGTGCTAATCTTCCTCTGTTTTATGTTGGATGCTGCCACAGCGTGGCTTGACAAGTCGTGGTAGATCCATTCCCAGGATCCGAACCTGTGAACCCTGGGCTGCTGAAGCAAAGCACACGAGCTTAACCGCTATGCCACTGGGCTGGCCCCAATCCTGTATCCCCTTTCTTGTCATCTACCTCTCACCTTTAAGCTATTAATGAAATGTAGCAATTGCTGGTATTAATTGAATAATTACCATATGTCAAGCACTTCTAGGCCTGTTACACTCACAGCAAACTTGCAAGGGTATCAGCAGTTTGAAGATGAGGACACTCAGGATGAGAAATGTGTTCATGGTTAAAGAGCAGCGAAGAGAGGTCTGTGGCTGGATGGGTTCAGGTTTCGTTTTTGTAATATTGGTGAAGCAGAAGGAGCAGGGATGGATCCTGGGCACTGCCGGTGGACTGAGGTAGAACCAGCTCTTTTTCTGGGTCTAAGGGGAAGGAATTAAGGATGGTGGATAACTGTGTAGGTGCAGCAAAGCGTTTAGAGCATTTATTCAGACCTCTAATTTCTCTGAAGGGCCCAAAGCAAATTGGTTGTTCGAAGATGGGAGAAGGTGTGATAGCGTAAGGGACCTTGAGGAGAGTTTTAAGCCTTGGAAGTTTGGAATATTTGTGAGAGGATTGGGGAAAGTATTACTGGATGTTGCTGAAGCCCCAGCTGAGGCTGGAGAGCCTGTGTTTCTAATGGCATTGATCTCTGAGCCATTTTCAGCAGTCCTGGACCATCCAGGTACAGGAACAGAGAAGGCAGGTGGATTGGATGGTACAGGATTTTGCCAGTCTGCTACAGTTGAGGGAAAACAGGAGTTGAGGGTATAGATGAGAGGGTGGCTCAATTAATAGACCATGAGATCAAGGGTGATGGGAAGGAAGTAAAGATGGGTGAGAGCTCATGGCTTAGGAGACAGTAGAGGTAAAAGTGGACTGGAAGCTCACTGAGGTTGAAGAGCAAGCATAAAGGAACTGAGAGTGACAATCAGGAGGTTTCATCAGTGTATGTTAGAGTTTAGATTTCAGAGATAGAGTGGTCTTGATGATGACAAAGTCCAGGGTATGCGAGTTACGAATGATGAAGAAACTGAGAGCCTAAAGTGCTAGATGGTCATCCACAGAGCTCTTGAGTGTCCATATGATAATTTTTAAAAATAATAATTAAGGGGCCAACCTGGTGGTGCAGCGGTTAAGTGCGCACGTTCTGCTTCGGTGGCCTGGGGTTTGCTGGTTCGGATCCCAGGTGTGGACATGGCACTGCTTGGCATGCCATGCTGTGGTAGCCATCCCACATATAAAGCATAGGAAGATGGGCACGGATGTTAGCTCAGGGCCAGTCTTCCTCAGCAGAAAGAGGAGGATTGGAGCAGTTAGCTCAGGGCTAACCTTCCTCAAAAATAAATAAATAAATAAATAAATAATTAAGGGGCCAGCCTGCTGGCATAGTGGTTGAGTTCATGCGCTCCACTTCAGTGGCCTCAGGGTTTATGGGTTTGGATCCTGGGGTGCAGACCTACACACCACTCATCAAGCCGTACTGTGGCAGCCTTTCACATAAAGTAGAGGAAGATTGGCTCAGATGTTAGCTCAGCAACATTCTTCCTCAAGCAAAAAGAGGAAGATTGGCAACAGATGTTAGCTCAGGGCCAATCTTCCTCACCAAGAAAAAAAATAATTACAGCCACATTTATGGAATGCTTACGAGGTGCCAGGCATTGTGCTTTACCGCTGAGGCTGGTGATGAAGACTGTGAGTCAGATAAATTCTTAAAAAATGTAGAGACGCCTAGGATGACACAAGATGATAGCAAAGAGGAGAAGTCAGCAAACCTGGCCGGGAGACCAAATCCAGCCCATCACTTGTTTTTGTAAATAAAGTTTTATTGGAAGAAACCCACGCTCATTCATTTATGTATTGTCTGTGACCGCTTTTGCCCTGCAGAGTTGGGTAGGTACAAAAGAGACCATGCGGCCTGCAAGACCTAAACTATTTAAAGTCTGGCCCTTTATAGAAAAAAGTTTGTTGACCCCTGGTGTAGATGAATATCGGAAGCCTCAGCTGACGTGGGGAGTGGAGAAGTAGTGACTTTGAAGGAGCAGTGGGGACTAGGGTGGCCTCTCCTTTCTCCTTGGTCCTATAGCATGCTTTGAGAGAAGAAGCAGCTACTACTTAAGAATTAAGTAACTAAGAAGTCATTGATGACTTTAGGGAAGGCAGTTTCAATACTTCACTGGGGGCCAGGTTATAGCAACTGAGTGAACACATCTGAAGAAAGAAATGGGATAGTGGTGGCTGGAGGATGGTAGAGGTGAGGGAGGGTGTAGGGAGACGGGGAGACACGCATGTTCGTAGGATGAAGAAAGTGTGTTGGTGAAGATAGCAATGTTAAATAAGCAGGACAAGCAGGAGAGAGAATGGATGACGGATGAGCGAGGTTCAGTGGTAGGAGAGTTGCCAAAAAGAGCCCAAATGGGGAGGTTAGAAATGAGAGAAACTTCATTTGAGATGTAGGAAAAGTGAGGATGAGTGTGGATATAGGTAAATGTACAGGTAGAGGGAGAGAAGGTTGAGGGAAATGATATCTGCTATGTTAAATGGGATGCAAGGTGAGAGCTGGGAGTCAAGTGAAGGGCTCGAGGGAGCGAGGAAGGCTTGGAATGGTTCTTGAGGAGAATGGTGGAGATACTACTCAAGGCAGAAAGATTGTCATGGGGGGTCGGTGCTGAGATGTGAGTCAGTGAATTTGTACACATTTCTCTGTGTGAATGTGTGATTTAATATTTTTCCAACAGAGCTCGGCTCTCCTAGAGCGGTCATAGTGAAGAGCAAATGTAGCCTTGGTTCAGATTTTGGGTTTTATTGGTTAGATGTGGCTGTGACAATGTGACAGGGAGCAGGGGAAGGTAGTTCCTACAGAGTAGTTAACATGATCACCATGGGGACCAGACTAGACAGGCAAGGAAGGCACGCCGGAGAGCACTGTCCTGGAGGGTTCAAGGGACTGGTAGTCTCAATGTGGGACAGAAGAAAAGGGATAGTAAGAGTAAGGGAATGAAAACTGGAAGGCTGAGCTCAGAGAGCACGTGAAATAGTTGAGGCTAAGATTTCAGAGGGAGAGCCAGTCA